CTACAGCAATTCCCTAGACGTCTCTAAAAGCATTTAGTTTTTATGGGTGTCTTTCCACTAAAAGCTCCACAATAATTTCTGGACTGTTTAAAGTATAAGGTCAGAAGTTACGTTCTAAATCTGTTGTAAACTATCCCAACTAATCGCTGTCTTCTCGCATTTCCTCGCGCATTGTCAACTCCGTGGTCGAAGTCGAACGATGTGTTTGCTGATGTTGCGTCCATTCGCATGAAAAAAAAAGCTGCGAGATAGTATCTCTGCAGGCGAACATCGCGTAGTCTGATCTATGCGAGACGCTCTCTCCTCAGTCTTCCGGCAAAACAAGAAGTGTTTTGCTGGGGAGGCGCTCGTCGCAGCAGTCTGCATGCTCTGCTCCTATACTACATATTTTGTTGTCTAGGAGCAGCTCAACACAACTCATCGTCGTCCTCATATTCACATACACATATTATGCTCAAGCCAATGTTCGAACGCCAGCGCTCGAAAATAGAAGCCGTTGTTCAGTCTCTTAGTTGGCGCTTTCTATTCGTCAATGTGCTTTTGCACTACTATGTGCACTTTGGCAGTTCCTACTGTCGACCGAACCTGCGGGGACAACGTATGCACTGCATGTAAGTAAAAGAAAAGCAGTCGACGGTCGAGGAGATCCTTTCCTATGAGAATACGATTTTTTTGCCTTTCGCGCAGCGTTGTTCCTCCACACTACATCTCGTTGACTACTCTTCGTGTAACGCGGAAGTACTGATGTGGAAAATGTCTAGGCGGAACCGAGTCAAAGAGTACAGAATTGAGTCATTGCCTTACGGCCTTTGTGATTGTATTGCCCCGAATCGCTCGTACACACGGAAAATGTGCAACTGATTCAACGCATATTTCGCAGCATACGTTCTGTTAGTTGGAGATAAACAGTTGAACGCTGCGTCCCAGTATGCTACTTTTCTCGTTACGTTCCGTCCATCGCTGAGTGCCTTGCTGCGAGCAACTGTTTTAGTATGCGGTATGCACCTACGGAGTACTTAATTCCTTTTCTGACACATTGTGGTCCGTCAGCTCAGCGTATTTGGCGTGAAAATTCCGATCTTCAGGACTTCCTACATTCCAAGAGACAGTTGTCATTAAAGTGCTCGGTACACTCGTCCTTTCTCTTTCAAAACTGTTTTCCTGAATAATTGATATGATTCTGTAACCGATACGCATCCTTTGTCACTTGCCATTTAGCAGAAACTAGCGAATCTGTGAAGTTGCCTAACCTGGTCGTGTCAAAATCCCAAAAAAAAGGACAACAACCACTGTCTGAAGTAATTCAAAGACTAACAGTAAATTCTCGTACACACATGTGTTCTGTGGCGCAAAGGCTGAACGCGTGTGCATGAGCAATGCCATCAACAACGCGTTGGCGATATTTTCGCTATGGTTGCATTTCTCAGCGTCGTTGTCGACAGCGATGGCGGCATCGTCGGCAGCGGCGTGGCGGCGTCACCTACGGCCACACTTGTTTTTCTGTCCTGATCGTTGGATGATCACGTCTGCTACTGTTTCTGTGAGCGGGAACAATTTCTCGTCGACCACGTCGTAATCGTTGCAGCAAAGGTTGCACTCGGGCTTAGAAGTGCATAGTGGTATTTTCTCTTGAGCTGGCGTTAGTTTATGAG